AATCTTATGTTTTATTATTTTTTAATAATTTTATTTTTATAATAAAATGCTTATTTAATTTATTGCATTTTCTCGTTCTATTATTATTAATGTTATGATCAATTTATATTTAATACCATCTGAATATCATATTTTTATTGAATGGATTATGGATAATGTATATTGAGTCTATCTAAGAATTTCTCAACCATTTTAATAATTACTTTTCTTTTAAAATAAAAGAAAGTTTAAGTAAGTTGGGTCCTGATGACTTAGCAAAGCGAGGACATGTCTCTGAACTCAAAAAATACTTACAAATTGCTCGCTAACAGGTCATCATATCAGTAGCATGACTTGATTTCACAACTTTAAGGCCTTGTCTAGTATGAAGGAATGAAGTTGGAGGGTTGGGTCTAGGACTAGTATTGGGAAAAGTTCATTTTGTAACATTCAAAAAATTTAACCATAAATTAGCTAAGTGTATGAGGATAATTAAGTAAATTTATGTGGTGTATGATTATAGAGAGCTAACGAATGTTTTAAGTTGTATTTTCAGCCCTATGATTGAGTTTAAAGTGAAGTCAGGACATTCGGACATAAAAAAGTGAGAAAAACAATGAAAAATAACTCTGCCATATGTTACAACGCATAGACCATCACAATGTGAAGTGCCATTGTACACGATACACTTTCTACAAAGATAAGATGTAAACTGATGCAAAAATCATAAGAGAAAGAAAAGGGAGCACGAGAAGAAGCAGGTAACTTTGCTAGGGTTTGTTTTTAAAGAGAGATTTGAGCATTTTGAAGCCACTAAGCTCCAAGGATAAGTCTCTTAACTTGTTCTTCTTCCTTTTTAGCCCATTTTCTTGAAGTTTTTTTTTTGTTAGGATTTGATAATAAAAAATAATTTCAATCATATAAGTTATAGGTCCAAATTCATTAACCTAAATAGAGTTAATAGAAGTTAGTTTAGTAGTTGAAACCATTAATAAGTGGTTTTATGCATTAATGGTAGTGGGTGACCATAAAAATCTGAAAATGAGCCATTAATGTGTGTTTTTGAGGTGGTTGGAAGCCATCAATGACAATATGAGAGTTTAATGAAGTTATATAAAGTTAAAGAGAATTAATGTACCTAATAGGTAAGCCTAATTGTAAAAAATAAGGGCATTAGGTATTTTAAAAATGGAAAGTGGGAGTTAAAAGTATATTTGTAGCAATGTTAATTGAGTTTAGACTCAATTAATTGTATATTAATCGTCTGGGCACCATTTTGGGCTTAAAAGCATATATTGAGAGGTAAATCTCTAACCTCTTAAAGGTTTAAAATAATCAGAGAAATCCTGTTCTGAATAGTTGTTTGTTAATTGACTTTTAATGTGAAAATGAATTTATTTACACCTATGATTGAAGTTGTAAATGTGAAGGCATGCTATAAACCATATATTAGTATATAAATCTAGATCTTACATAAATGAGGAGTTGAATTTGAATTGAATTTTCAAACTATGAATATATATCAAAATGAGAAGTTTATGATAGGTAATATGATATTAGTGTGCTTGTGTCACATGTGAGTATCATATGTGTGGCTAAACGAAAATTTGAAATGTATTATGAAATTTAGAATTTAAAAGAACAATATTTGTGAATATGATATTGATGCTCACTTGGATAATGTAATACCGTAAGCCCAATGTGTTGATGTTAAGTAAATTAAAAAATGAATAAACATAAATATTGCATGATTATTTAGTAGGAGTTTGCTCAAACAAAAAAGTAAATAAAATTTATATGATATTTGTGGTAAGAAAAAGAGCAACAAAAGCATTGAAGGTTAATTAATTTCTACCACACGGTGATAATGATAACAAAAGCATGATGAAAAACTAGAAGGGCAACCAAAAAAGGAGGAGGGGGGAAAAATGGGTAGTAGTTGGAGAGCAGAGGCAGTGGCTCTTTTGCACCGTGATTGCTCATTGGGAAGGAGAGTGATCGCATCATTAAATGAGGGATAAAGTTACAATTTTTTCTTTTTATTGTTTTTCAAAAATAGTTTTTTGAGCAAGTTTTTCAAAAATATTATATAATCTTTTCATAATTTATATTTAATTATAAAATAAAATAAAAATAAGTATTCTCTGCAATTATTATCTTATACCAAATATAATTTTAAAATGTTATTCTCATTCTTATTCTCATTGTCAATCCCAATCACAATACCAAACATGGCTTAAATCATGGGCTAAATTATTACTAGATGGAACCATCTTTTTCAGTTTCTTGACCAAAGATCATTGATTATTTCAATTTCACATTGCCGATTCACTTCACACCTCCATTCAATGAAGTGGTGAACATTCAGAGTATCGTATTGTATAGGGTAGACAACAATAGTGAGGGAGGGGGGATTGTTTAATCTTGAACTATGTAAATTTAAAATAAATATGACGAATTATTATGTTTTATCGAAAATTTAATTATATACTCGGAAACTCAGAAAGTAACATGAATGGATTGGATTCAATGATAAGGTAAAATGATAATCATGTTTCGGCTAATCGTGGAAACTACTTGGTTTGGCCATTTTGCCTTATCTGTTTTCCATATTATCCCTTCACACTCTTGGCAACACATTCGATACGCTCCTTCTAAACCATGCTTCACTGCTTCAGAACCCGTGTCACGCGTATCCAACCCTTTCTTGGAAACACACAATTTTACAGTAATGCCACTTCTTACTTCAAGGTCTCACATAATTTTATTTGCCAATCTGCAATTTATTTTAATAGAATTATTTAATATTATCCAAAATATTGGCTGAAATATGCTATATAATAAATCACTGGGAAGCTCTCCCATTAGGAGAGGAATCTACACACACCCCATATTTCTTTGATCCTGTTTATAGAATAAAGAGAGACTCCTTTTAATCGTGTTTATAAATAATTTTTAACATTTTTATTAGAATTAAAAAAATATTAAACTTTATTGACTCTGTTAAAAAATTTAATAAGTTTTTAACTTTACTCTTATTAAATATACCTACTTTAAAATAAAATACTTTAGTATTTAATAAATCTTCTTACATTTAGCAGGAACAAGATGGTAAAGACAAATATGTTAATCATTGAGGTGTTTTATAAATATGATCAAAACAAACATTCTCTCCTCTATAAATGGGACCAAAGTAGTATTTGCTTTGGTTATGTTTATAAAGTAGCCCAATGATTATTATAACTATTTTTACGTCTTTATCTTTATTAAATGGTGTGAAAGTCATTAAATGTCGAGTATTTTATTTTTAAAGTATAAATATTTGATAAGAATAAAGTTAAAAAATAATTAAATTTTTAGATATAATTAACAAAATTTAAATTTTTTTAATTTTGATGAAATATATTGGATATGACTTATCAATAAAACTAAAAAAAGTACCTATTAAATGCTAAACCCACAACCTCACACTTAAGAGAGTTGCATATAATGTAAGAAAAATTTAGAGTAATTTTTTTTGGAATTTATTATGATATGAATTTTTAAACAATAATTTATTATGATTTTTACGGCAAAGAAAGACACAATTAAAAGGTTACATTTCATCTGTTAAAAAATATAAGATATTTTTAACTAAATCCTACTCTAATAAGATGTTTCACTATAAAATAAATATAAAATAATTTATTTATTATGGGTACTTAAAAAAACATTAATTGCACATTAAAATATTAAAAATTTTTGGTCTTTTTAAAATATCTAACCCTTTAAAAAATATCTACAGAAGAAGTATATTTTTACTTCCTTTATTAAAAATACAAGACACTTTTTAAAGAGTTGGATGTTAAAAAATATAAGACATTTTTAATTTTTTAAAGTATAATCATTGTTTTTTTAAAAGTGCCCTGTCGACAATAATTTTATATTTATTGTAAGATGTTTAAAAGAGATAAATATAAAAATATAAAATTAATTAAAGAGTAGATAATTACTTTATTAAGGGTGTTATATTTTTAAACAGAGGAGTGTAATAATTTTTAAAATAACGATTACTCTTTGTTAATAAACGTGAAGTTAATTAATTCTATTTTATTTTGAAATTTGTTAGAAATGTATAACATGTCTTAGATTTTACACAATACATAGCCTATTTCAAATTCGACAAGGTTGCAAGATTGTGAACGAATTGTGAGTGAACAATAACGGCTTTGTTTTTTTGGTTGGGGACGACGTGGAAACAATAAAGTGAAATTTGATCGAGTCCTATAAGCAATCCCTTTCAAACATTCCCAAATTATGAGCAGCTATTCCTCACCGACGTGCCTTCTTCCCCATCCATACCACCCTGCCTCCTTCTTTTCTCCCCACTTTACAATCTTACCCCTCTGGGATTTCCCTGTCTTTTGCGTATATATTCAGATCATTTCAAATAACTACCTCATAATTTCAGGTTAAGGATCTTTTAACGTGCCTTTTTCTAATGTCATTTATAAAGTTTCTTTTGTTTTCTTTTTTTTATCATTGAATTTTATTTAAAATAAGAAATATTTTGATACATTGAAATCCTAACATAGTAGAGTTTTATATTTTTCATAATTTTTTAAGAAAATTTATCAATATTATACATTTTTATATTTGAAAAATATAAAAATATAAAACTCTATACCATTTTGAAACTTTGAGATTTTAAAATTTTTCTTATTTTATATACAATTCAATGATTAGATAAAAAAAATTAGAAAGGAAGGGCATTGCAAAATATATTAGAGAAAATCACATGAGATCTCTGGCCATATTTTCTTGAGATCTGTTTTTCTTTCTTGAGAAGATGAGATCTAAAATTTTAATCAAAGATTAAAGATGTGATACTGCATGAATATTTTCTTGCTTATTAAGGAAAAAGAGGGAGGGGTAAAAATGACAATTGAGGGGTGGCCCCAAAACCCAAATGATCATCTGGTCAAACACAACGTTTTCATTTAAAAGTTGACCATTAATGCGCAGTTTGCCGCACTATGTACACGCAAAAATAGTCCCCCCTTCATATTCGCCTCTTCTAATTTCCTCTTTCATTTTATTCATTCCCCTCCCTCACCATTTCCAACCTTTGACGATTTCTTACCCAAACCAAAATCACAATCTTTCATATAAATTATCTTCTTCCTCTTCAATACACTCTATTCTATCCCACTTCCAATATGTCTTGCTCCATCGCTGTCCCTACCTCTCCTTCCCTCTTCTGCAACAACATGAACTCCCTCATATCTCCTCCTTCTTCCCCTCCTTCTTCCTGCTTCAGGCTCCTCAAGCCTCCAATCGCTTTGCCCGCTCCTCCCTCTCCTTCTGTTTCCACTTCTGCTCCGTCGTCTTCCTCTTCCTCGCCCACGAACTCCCTCTTGAAGAGGAAGAGGCCTGCCAGGCTTGATATTCCCGTCGCGTCTCTCGCTTTTGGTGCCCCGGCAACGCCGTCTGCGGCGTCTCGTGATTTCATGGAGGCTGAAGGCAATGGGTTTTCTGTGTATTGCAAGAGGGGAAAGAGGGAGTTCATGGAGGACCGTTATTCGACTGCCGTTAATCTACAAGGAAAACAAAACCAGGTATTCCCAACCCGGCAACCCCCAAACCCCCCCTCACCCCCAAAAAAGAAAAAAAGAAAAAAAGATCTTTCCCTTTTTCCCATTTGAATTTTTCTTTAGTTTGACTAGTCTGTTTGGAAAACTTAATGATTAAGAACTTCATCTCTCGCAATACATATAATTTTTTGGATGACTCGATCGGGCACGGTTACTCCTGGAACTGTTGATTGTTGAATGAATGAAACCATGACCTCTACTTTGAAATTTAATAATTAAATGCAAGTGGCGTAAAGTTCACATCCAAATGCGCTGTGTCGTGTATCATGACAGGCTTTCTTTGGGATATTCGATGGGCATGGGGGAGCAAAAGCTGCGGAATTTGCTGCTCATAACTTGGAAAATAATGTCTTGAAAGAAGTAATTAGGAGGAGTGAGAACGAAGATGACGACAACAGCGACGGCATTGAAGAGGCAGTGAAACATGGTTACTTGACCACAGATTTGGAGTTCCTAAAAGAGGATGTACAAGGTGGCTCTTGCTGTGTAACGGCATTGATCAGAAACGGCAACCTCATTGTGTCCAATGTTGGTGATTGTCGTGCTGTCCTTTCCAGGGGAGGCGAAGCCGAGGCCCTCACATCTGATCACCGGCCCTCAAGGGAAGACGAGAGGGGCAGAATTGAAGCTCTGGTATGCTTCTGATCCTGATATATAATATCAATCTCTAAATTGTTTCTTGTTTTAGTTTGATCAGTTTCTGAAGCATACTGGGTTTGAGTTGTCTTATAGGGTGGCTATGTAGATCTATGCCATGGAGTTTGGAGGATCCAGGGATCTCTTGCTGTGTCTAGAGGAATTGGAGATAAGCACCTGAAGCAATGGGTGACAGCGGAACCTGAAACTAAAATTCTCAAAATTGAAGATGAACATGACTTGTTAATACTAGCTTCAGATGGACTATGGGATAAGGTATAAAACTGATCAAATTACTTAAAATGTTCATAATATGTCATCAAAATTCCACCCAGAAAATATCATTTTCTCAAGTTTATCAAGCTTTCTTCTTTCTCTACTTTTCCAGGTTACTAATCAGGAAGCAGTGGATATTGCTCGTTCTTTTTGTGTTGGAAGTGATAAGCCACAGCCATTGTTGGCCTGTAAAAAGCTTGTAGAGTTGTCAGCTTCACGAGGCTCTTTTGATGATATAAGCGTTATGGTGATCAAGCTGGGTCACTATACATGAAGCTTCATCAGTAGTACAAGAGAGAGAATACTTACTGCACCTGTAATTCATAACATACAGTATTAGGGATTTAGTCTCTGCGCCTGTAACACAGAATTAGGGATTTTATTCTCAGCCTGAGAGAGAAACTCGAAGGCTCAAGCAAGGCTGAAGAGTAGCGCCAACTAGTTCTTCATTCTCAGAGGAAAGAGGCCGCTACCATTACGTTAAGCAGGACTGAATCTCTTTCTGTACATACCTGCACTTCCTTTATTTTTTATTTTTTATTTTTTACCCATATAGACTCAGCAGAATAAGTTCTATTCTTTGTTTACTTTTCCCCCCTTCTTTTCCCTCAAAATTCTCCTACTGATCTAAATGTAGTAGCATTACATTATTTAATTTTTTTTTAATCGAAGTCATCGGCTTTCAAAGTTATCATTTGCTGCCGCATTCTTAGATGGTAAATATTCTCTTGATTCTGTCATGGTGTTGTACTTAAACTGCAAAACCGGAAACGGTCTTGCTTTCAAAAATATAGAAGTCAGATTTTGTTACTCTGAACGATTCAACGTACTCGAACTGATAAATTAATTTGATTGGACGGTGGACTGTTGCGTGAGCTTTTTATGCTTTGCTGGATCATCCTTTTCTCGATAATAATTATAAAGCCTTGGCTGCAAGAAACATTTTATCATCATCGAACTAGAGCATTATTGAATTTCTTTTTTTTTTTTTTGGGGCAAGAGCATTAATGAATTGTAACCCTTAATATTCTAAAGTTCACTTTTTCGTGTCCGTATCGAGGACAGGTATATTTTTTGAAGAAATTGAAATAAACTCGCTGGATGTGACGGTTCAATTCATTCTTTTTGAGTGACAGTGATGTAAACATTTCATTAAATTAATAAAGCTGCAGACTTCCTACCAAAAAAAAAAAAAATCTGCAGACTTTGCCTTTATTTTATCAGTGTATTCCAAGTTGCATTCAGGTGAATTCATGAAAAACAATTCTATTTGAGACATTAAAGAAGGCATATCTCTCACCAGCTTCGAACTTAAAAAAAAAAAAAAAAAACTTCCCAGCTTACAACTTTATCATTATTATTTTTTTTTTTTTTTTGCGCCTTGGTGCCCAGCTCACAACTTTTAGAATGCAATATTGTTGCAGTGAGAGGACATGCTGGGGCAATTAAATATTGGAATGGGAGGGCTAAAAAATTGACATATTCTGCCTGTGACTGTATATTAAATTCAAGATTTATCAGATAGTAAAATTTAAAAAATCCTTAATAATGTCAATGCCGGATGGGTTGAATTGACGACTTCAGACTGATAATATTTGTGTATATTCTACGACAGAAGGTTCTAATAGTTGTAAATAGTTGTTGGACTGTTGTAAATAGTAGATGCAAAGTTGTCTTTTTTTTTTTTAATGTGGTTTTGTATCTGTAAATTATTAGTAAAATGTAATGTTTGAATCCGATCTCTTTCTAGTATATCAGTTAGAAGAAAGTCGGCCGGGTCAATTTACATGCATTTTAATTGATCTCTTCGGACTAGAGACTCGACCAATTAATGTAAAAGCTGAACGGAAATTATTAAAAAAGAAAGAAAGAAATATTCTTTAAGATCCCCCTTGAAAAATAGACCTATTCCAGTGTTCTCATTTGAGTTAAAATTCAAAGAGAGAAAGATAAACAATGCTAAACTATATAAAATAGCTGCCCAGACTGTTGGGATGCAAGTCTAAGAAGACCTGGCTTAGTGTGAGAAGTATTATATTAATTAATAGAATCAGACTTAAAAATTGCTACTATGCACGTAGAAGCAGGAACCATGTACTTATTATTTTAAGATTTTGATTTAAGATATATCCCTTTAAAACATAACATAAATCATTACTAACTAATTTATATATGTGTTTTAAAAAAAGTTGATTCAAATTTTGATTTTCTGAAAAAAAATTCACATCTCTCCAACTCTTGAGTGGAGTGAATACAACATTTAACTTATTTAAAACACTTTTATTAATTATTTAAGTGAAATATATTAAAATAACGGCATATGATTGAATATATATATATACACTCCCTACATTAAAAATGTAAGATATTTTTAACTGAATCTCACCTTCTAATAAAATAGTTATCTACTTTTAAATTACTCTTATCATTTCATATTTACCCCAATTAAATACCCTACAATAAATATAAAATCATTATCAATAAGAGTATTTAAAAAAAAGACAACGATTACTTCTTAAAGATTAAAAATGTCTTACATTTTTAAACAGAGAGAATATAACTTATCAAATGTTCATATTTTGAATTAAGTAATAGATTTTTTAAAAAATGCTCTATATTATAATCTAGGGAGAGTAATGTTGACTATCTCATACACATCTTGTGCTTTTGACTTTAGTTGGACTGTCTCTCAGTATTTTTAATCAACAAAGCAGAACTTTTCTCTTTTGTTGTTGGAAAATCTTCTCATTACTCATGATCTAATTAATTGGACGATGTCCACCGTTTTAAGATGTTGCATTTAGTCTCAACACAACCTTTTTTTGTTGTCAGAAAGATCATATTATTGACTTGCACTAACGTTGGTTTCTCTTGATTTCCGAGAGAGTGAGAGATTTGAGTCTAGTTTAATTTTTCAAGCTTCGCTGTGCACATTGCAATTAAAAATAAGAAAAAGGAAAATATTTTGGTCACGAGAGTGAGGTAAGATAAAAGATGGAAGAGGTGGAAGTGGAAATACGATTTTAGATTTTTCCATACTCTCTCTCGATCCATCTTTATAGTTTATACATCCATTCTCATTCATTCATTTAATTATTATTTTGGTTTAATGGTGAGAGATTGTCAATTATAACATTAAAATAAATACAGTATTCATTAAATGGTTATCATTAATAAACATTTTGATCTTATTTTCAAAAGTAATTAAGTGATGATAGTGAATAATCTATTTAATTTGATATCATAATAAGCAATCTCATACCATTAAACTAAAATAATTATTAAATAAATGAATAAGATTGTGCATGTGGACATGTATTGGGATAGAGTATCGAAATGATCCAAGTCCGGAAAGATTAGTGGACATCGTAAATAGAAATATATCATATTCATACGTGATATAAAAATTTAGGATAAATTTGACTATTTTCAAATTATAAATAGAAAAAATGACAATAAAATTTCATCAAAATATATAAATGACAATCAAGTCTTTCAAAATGTCATAATTTCTTTAAAGTTTTTGGATATCTTTATGACATAAATAATTTTAGATTAAATGACTAAGTTGTCATTTGTTTAAAATAAGAACAATGAGTCCGACTCCATTTTCTCAGTCACAACTTTTATTTAAATAATTATAATTTTTATTCTATAAATTACAAGAATTGAACAATAAATCAAATTTCTCACATAATTATCAATAAACAAGTTTTGAAAATAATAATCATAGTCACAACTTTTGTTTAAATAATCACAATTTTAATCATGCTAATCACAAAAAAGGAACAAAAAACCACAACCTCCCACACAAAATTTCTTTTTTTATTGAAGTCTAAGTTTTAAAAATAATTAATTATAACTTTTACTTAAGAAATCACAATTTTTATTGTGTGAATCACAAAATTTTAACAAGAAATTACAACTTTTCATATGAAAATTATTTTATCATTGGAGTTCAAGTTCTAAAAATAATTGATTAAAACTTTTGTTTAAGTAGTCGTAATTTTGTCCAATAAATCATAAGAATTAAATAAAAAATTACAACTTTTCACATGAATCTGTTTTTTTTATTTTAAATATGGGCAATTTATTTATTTAACAATATTTATTTAATCACTAATTTCATGAAGGTGCTTTGGGATTTTAGAGAAAACTATGATATTGTTTGATTATTATTTATATATTTTGGTGGGTTTTTATTGTTATTTTTCCTTATAAGTAATATAAATAATAAGTTATTGTACGGCCTCCGTGGGGTGAGAATATTGGGCCCGAAATTGCAGCAAGAGAGAAATAAAATGTAGCAGGGACGGCGGAGGAGGGTGCTGACCAAGTTTGTCGGCGGTTAGAAGGAGACCACGTCCCGTGCCGACCACTGGCCGAATAGTGATCTCCCTCCTTCAGATCCTCTTGTCTTTTATATTCCTCGTGTCTCTCTTCATTTCCTCGCCCTTGACCTTTTCTACCTCTGCATTATTCCGTCTCATCCACTCTTACACTGTCACTATAACTTACAAGGAGGGCAAGTTTAGCATATTTTCAAGTGTTTAATTCCAACCAACTAGAAGATATAACCAATCAAAATTAACATGATGGGTGAAGGTTCTCGTCACCTAATTAAAACAAATAGAAATAGATAGAGTTTTGTATTTCGATCATTATATATGTAATAACTCAATTAGAAAAGATTTACTTTTTACTTATAATCTTGAAGGAAACAGAACTTGTTTCTTGTATTATAAAAAAATAATGTACACAGGATATAGCGTAATTTTGATGAGACGCACAATATTAATTTTATGAATCGTGAGGGAATCAAGTGCTGGAGGAATAATGAAATGACAAACTGGCAAGTGAAGACAACATGAGAGCGAGAGAGAGAGAGAGAGAGATTGACTTAGTTAAATAATGAGATATGGAGGGGCGAGGGCCTATCAGGAGCAAGGAGGAGGAAGGTGCGTTTGGGACACGAGGAAGGGAAGCTACAATACAATACAACGAGATCGAAACTCGGGACGCTTCGTGGAAGCAGCAAGTAGCAACATGTTTCTTAACACTTGTACAAATCAAGTCTAATGTTACGAGAAAATCGACTCTAATATTATTGTATACGTTCGCACTCTATAAATGCAACTTCGTACTGCGACCGAGGTGTTGTTGCTACGTGTTCCCACATCTCGATCTGTATCTGCATTATCTACCTTTTTTGTTGGGTCTATGATTTAATATTGCAGATCCTCGTGTTTCATGCTTGTGTGGGGATCTTGGTGCCATGTGTTGAATTCACACATCCCCATTATTATCAATCAACCAGGGACGGACTTAGGTTGGTCCTTGGAGGGGCCGGTGCAACCCCCCCCCCCCAGCCCCAGCCCCAGCCCCTCAAGCATTATAAGAGGGGTGGTGTCTATTGCAACCCTCCTAAAAAAAAAACAAAAACAAAAACAAAAACTCATCATATATCTTTTTTTAATTAAGGTATTATGTGTATATAATATAATATGCATACATTTTTTTTATTTGTACTTCTTTAGTCTTATATATAAGATAGAAAGAATACTTATTTTGGTTCTATTTATAAAATACCTTAATGAATATTGTGTCTATTTTTATCATTACTCATGTTAAATGTTAGGAATGATATTAAATACTAGAGTATTTTATTTTTAAAATATATATATTTAATAACGATAGGGTGAAAAATATGTTAGATTTTTAGATAAAGTTAATGAGATGTAAATTTTTTTTTATTTCAGTAAAAATGCTTGGAGTGACTTATAAATAGGACTGAAAAGAATATATTTTAATAAAAATATATATTATATTTAATTATTTAGATATATGGTATCTTGTG